ATGGAGACAATGTTTTTTTTTCTTGCTCACTGTAGCCTCTTTCTGATACAATGGGGTGCACTGCATTGTGAGATGTTCGCACGGATTCTTTGTCTCGATTGAAAGACGAAACAAGTATTAAATCAAGAAACGAAACTCTGAGCAATTACCAAAAAGACAGGAAGAATTCGGGAAATATGTTTTAATGTTGAATTTCGGTACAATGGTAATTGAAAACAACATAACATGTAAGGAGAAATCCTGGCGGGTGGCATACATAGTATTTAAAGTGTAAACCTCCGTGTATGCGAGTTTGCATATGCATGCCTGTGTGCATGTGTGAGACTTACATATCAGTCAGTCAACCCATGGCACCTGGGTCTGTCCCGTGAACTTCTGCCACAACCACTGGCCCACTCCAAGGATAAGGCCGGCGTCCTCTGGTCTCGGTGGATGCATTTCTGGTCTCAATGCTGACCTTGGATGTGTCTGTCTTCTTGGTGAATTCCCCGGTGGTCTGGACAGAGGAATCTCTGAGTCCATTGTCGATCACAACCACGGGCCCACTCCAAGGATAAGGCCGGCGTCCTCTGGTCTCGGTGGATGCATCTCTAGTCTCAATGCTGACCTTGGATGTGTCTGTCTTCTTGGTGAAGTCCCCAGTGGTCTGGACAGAGGAATCTCTGAGTCCATTGTCGATCACAACCATGGGCCCACTCCAAGGATAAGGCCGGCGTCCTCTGGTGTCGGTGGATGCATCTCTAGTCTCAATGCTGACCTTGGATGTGTCCGTCTTCTTGGTGAAGTCCCCGCTGGTCTGGACAGAGGAATCTCTGAGTCCATTGTCGATCACAACCACGGGCCCACTCCAAGGATAAGGCCGGCGTCCTCTGGTCTCGGTGGATGCATCTCTGGTCTCAATGCTGACCTTGGATGTGTCTGTCTTCTTGGTGAATTCCCCGGTGGTCTGGACAGAGGAATCTCTGAGTCCATTGTCGATCACAACCACGGGCCCACTCCAAGGATAAGGCCGGCGTCCTCTGGTCTCGGTGGATGCATCTCTAGTCTCAATGCTGACCTTGGATGTGTCTGTCTTCTTGGTGAAGTCCCCAGTGGTCTGGACAGAGGAATCTCTGAGTCCATTGTCGATCACAACCACGGGCCCACTCCAAGGATAAGGCCGGCGTCCTCTGGTCTCGGTGGATGCATCTCTGGTCTCAATGCTGACCTTGGATGTGTCTGTCTTCTTGGTGAATTCCCCGGTGGTCTGGACAGAGGAATCTCTGAGTCCATTGTCGATCACAACCACGGGCCCACTCCAAGGATAAGGCCGGCGTCCTCTGGTCTCTGTGGATCCATCTCTAGTCTCAATGCTGACCTTGGATGTGTCTGTCTTCTTGGTGAAGTCCCCAGTGGTCTGGACAGAGGAATCTCTGAGTCCATTGTCGATCACAACCACGGGCCCACTCCAAGGATAAGGCCGGCGTCCTCTGGTCTCGGTGGATGCATCTCTAGTCTCAATGCTGACCTTGGATGTGTCCGCCGTCTTCTTGGTGAAGTCCCCGCTGGTCTGGACAGAGGAATCTCTGAGTCCATTGTCGATCACAACCACGGGCCCACTCCAAGGATAAGGCCGGCCGCCTCTGGTCTCGGTGGATGCATCTCTGGTCTCAATGCTGACCTTGGATGTGTCTGTCTTCTTGGTGAAGTCCCCAGTGGTTTGGACAGAGGAATCTCTGAGTCCATTGTCGATCACAACCACGGGCCCACTCCAAGGATGAGGTCGGCGTCCTCTGGTCTCGGTGGATGCATCTGTGGTCTCCATGCAGGCCCTTATGATATAGGTCTCATGTCTGATCTTTCGGAATCTGGGTCGTCTTACTATTTTCACTTTCTTGATAATTGCTGCATATTTTGTTTTCATCACTGCCCTCTGTTGATGTTTTATGATCCACATGTGGCAGATGATGAGAATAACATGAATAGCAGACATGTCTATGGATATTTTATGGACAATGGTCCACAATAAATGTGCAGTTTTCATAATCCCGTTATATGCCATTGCATGCCCAACACCATTCCATATCTTTTTTAACAACTCAAACACTGCAGTTGCATCTTTGATGGAGGCCTCGCTCATAGCAATTATCGCAGAACTGGCCATATGGCCAAAGGTTTGCAGCCAATCCAGGTACTGACTGTTGAAAAGTATGAGAAATATGTAAAAAATCAAACCAAACGTTGCCATTTTTTCGAAATTCTTTACACAAGCTCCAATATTAAATCGGTCTGGTGCAAGATGCTTTGTTTCCTGTGACGAGTCGACACTGCTGACAGTTTGAGAGTGCTTCAGCTTATATAGCCTGAGGGCCGGTGTGACGTCATTGTGACGTCACAATGATGGCACAGTAACGTCTGTGACATAACTGTTATGTCATTGTCACGTCACGTGATGTGATGTCACATTGCTGGTGCGCTCTAACATTATTTCAATGCAATTACAATTGACTGTATACCATTAAAACTGATAATTTGATGTTATAATATAGTACAATAACAGGTGTACATTTTATGTTGATTATTATCACGTAAAATGTTGAGTATTACTTGTGGGAATTTCGGCAAACCTGTCCGTAACCGTTTAAATTGACTTACTCTTGTTAAAACTATCATGATCCTTTTTATAATATCTCAAAAAAATTACAGTTTGAAATTGTGAATTCGCTTATAAAAAAATGTTTCCACATGATCAGCATGCCACCATCAGAGACAACCACGTTGTTTCAGTGAGGTTACAATAAAAAAAGACTTGGCAAATCGCTTGACAATCTATAATACGTTGACTTTAGGCATAATTTAAACTTGATGTGGATCCATCTTCTTTGGTTCTTTCGGTAAAGTCACGTAGAATGAGAATAAAATAATAAATTGATAAAATAAAATAACACAATAATATTCTCACGACATTTCGGCCACAACACAAGCGGCCTTCATCAGGTGAAGGGGACGAGACTGTCTGGAGGACAGCGCTGGAGTGAGAAAGCCACGCTGAGATCACGACCTTTAAGCTGTGTGAGAAGAAACAAAGCGCCTTGACAAAGGAATTAGCATATAATTTAGCATTGAAATGGCTGAGTGATTAGCTTGTGACTGGTCACAGAAAAGGCTATGTTAAAGTTAAAGCATACACATCCGCAAAGGCACCCCTTGACAAAGGAATTAGCATAGAATTTAGCATTGAAATAGCTAAGTTAAAGTATACACATCCGCAGAGGCACTCCTTGACAAAGGAATTAGCATAGAATTTAGCATTGAAATAGCTGAGTGATTAGCTTGTAACTGGTCACAGAAATAGCTATGTTAAAGTCAGAGCATATACATTCACCGAGGCACCTAGTACAAATCAAACAGGAGAATTTAGCATTGAAATAACTAGGCGAATTTAGCATTGTTGAAGCTAAGGCCTACACATCTGAGCTATTCACAGTAACTGGGTATACAATACAATATATAATGAATACTATATAGTGAACCAATAAAAAATACTAAAATATAAATTACCTCAATGTTATCAATACACTCTATATTCTCCAATCAGCTAAGCTACCAACAATAAGTCGTTATATATCACAATGCTATATGGCGAAAAATGGGTGGATTCTTACCCTCAACTTTAGCAACACGGATAGCTACGGGTCCCGTTCAAACGGACGAGTTCATCCATGGTCGGAACAGAGGAGGGGGAGAGAGAGAGCTGCGAGGCGCTGTTATACTCCATGTTGTAAACTATACCATTAACCGTGGTGTGAGAGGTATTAAGAGTCAATGCCAGCGAAAGAGCTGCGGTCTGAAGGTCATCGTAAAATACAATTAATTAAGAATGGAAATGGTTTAAAACATCTTTCCAATGGTTACTAAGCCAGAATCCATCTTCTCGGTTGAAATGGTCTCTGTGCTTGTATATGTGAATGGCCTCATTAATTATTTTATTCTCATTCTACGTGACTTTACCGAAAGAACCAAAGAAGACGAATCCTTGCAGTCACGAAAGCTTTAAATTGATGTGGATCCTGAAGTTCAGTCAAATAACTTTGGAGGAAATATTTCACGCGGTGTATTTCCCCTGTGGGTATGTGTCAATGAATCTGTCAGTTTGTATGCATGATTCACGTACAAGCAGCACAATAATTAACTGCTGACCATGTTGTGTTGGTTGATTTGGATGTTGCTGAGGAAAGATGGATTCCATGGAGACAATGTTTTTTTTTTCTTGCTCACTGTAGCCTCTTTCTGATACAATGGGGTGCACTGCATTGTGAGATGTTCGCACGGATTCTTTGTCTCGATTGAAAGACGAAACAAGTATTAAATCAAGAAACGAAACTCTGAGCAATTACCAAAAAGACAGGAAGAATTCGGGAAATATGTTTTAATGTTGAATTTCGGTACAATGGTAATTGAAAACAACATAACATGTAAGGAGAAATCCTGGTGGGTGGCATACATAGTATTTAAAGTGTAAACCTCCGTGTATGCGAGTTTGCATATGCATGCCTGTGTGCATGTGTGAGACTTACATATCAGTCAGTCAACCCATGGCACCTGGGTCTGTCCCGTGACCTTCTGCCACAACCACTGGCCCACTCCAAGGATAAGGCCGGCGTCCTCTGGTCTCGGTGGATGCATCTTAGGTCTCAATGCTGACCTCGGATGTGTCTGTCTTCTTGGTGAATTCCCCGGTGGTCTGGACAGAGGAATCTCTGAGTCCATTGTCGATAACAACCACGGGCCCACTCCAAGGATAAGTCCGGCGTCCTCTGGTCTCGGTGGATGCATCTCTAGTCTCAATGCTGACCTTGGATGTGTCCGTCTTCTTGGTGAAGTCCCCGCTGGTCTGGACAGAGGAATCTCTGAGTCCATTGTCGATCACAACCACGGGCCCACTCCAAGGATAAGGCCGGCGTCCTCTGGTCTCGGTGGATGCATCTCTGGTCTCAATGCTGACCTTGGATGTGTCTGTCTTCTTGGTGAATTCCCCGGTGGTCTGGACAGAGGAATCTCTGAGTCCATTGTCGATCACAACCACGGGCCCACTCCAAGGATAAGGCCGGCGTCCTCTGGTCTCGGTGGATGCATCTCTAGTCTCAATGCTGACCTTGGATGTGTCTGTCTTCTTGGTGAAGTCCCCAGTGGTCTGGACAGTGGAATCTCTGAGTCCATTGTCGATCACAAACACGGGCCCACTCCAAGGATAAGGCCGGCGTCCTCTGGTCTCGGTGGATGCATCTCTGGTCTCAATGCTGACCTTGGATGTGTCTGTCTTCTTGGTGAATTCCCCGGTGGTCTGGACAGAGGAATCTCTGAGTCCATTGTCGATCACAACCACGGGCCCACTCCAAGGATAAGGCCGGCGTCCTCTGGTCTCGGTGGATGCATCTCTAGTCTCAATGCTGACCTTGGATGTGTCTGTCTTTATGGTGAAGTCCCCAGTGGTCTGGACAGTGGAATCTCTGAGTCCATTGTCGATCACAAACACGGGCCCACTCCAAGGATAAGGCCGGCGTCCTCTGGTCTCGGTGGATGCATCTCTAGGTCTCAATGCTGACCTTGGATGTGTCTGTCTTCTTGGTGAAGTCCCCGGTGGTCTGGACAGAGGAATCTCTGAGTCCATTGTCGATCACAACCACGGGCCCACTCCAAGGATAAGGCCGGCGTCCTCTGGTCTCGGTGGATGCATCTCTAGTCTCAATGCTGACCTTGGATGTGTCTGTCTTCTTGGTGAAGTCCCCAGTGGTCTGGACAGAGGAATCTCTGAGTCCATTGTCGATCACAACCACGGGCCCACTCCAAGGATAAGGCCGGCGTCCTCTGGTCTCGGTGGATGCATCTCTGGTCTCAATGCTGACCTTGGATGTGTCTGTCTTCTTGGTGAATTCCCCGGTGGTCTGGACAGAGGAATCTCTGAGTCCATTGTCGATCACAACCACGGGCCCACTCCAAGGATAAGGCCGGCGTCCTCTGGTCTCGGTGGATGCATCTCTAGTCTCAATGCTGACCTTGGATGTGTCTGTCTTCTTGGTGAAGTCCCAGCTGGTCTGGACAGAGGAATCTCTGAGTCCATTGTCGATCACAACCACGGGCCCACTCCAAGGATAAGGCCGGCGTCCTCTGGTCTCGGTGGATGCATCTCTGGTCTCAATGCTGACCTTGGATGTGTCCTGTCTTCTTGGTGAATTCCCCGGTGGTCTGGACAGAGGAATCTCTGAGTCCATTGTCGATCACAACCACGGGCCCACTCCAAGGATAAGGCCGGCGTCCTCTGGTCTCTGTGGATGCATCTCTAGTCTCAATGCTGACCTTGGATGTGTCTGTCTTCTTGGTGAAGTCCCCAGTGGTCTGGACAGAGGAATCTCTGAGTCCATTGTCGATCACAACCACGGGCCCACTCCAAGGATAAGGCCGGCGTCCTCTGGTCTCGGTGGATGCATCTCTAGTCTCAATGCTGACCTTGGATGTGTCCGCCGTCTTCTTTGTGAAGTCCCCGCTGGTCTGGACAGAGGAATCTCTGAGTCCATTGTCGATCACAACCACGGGCCCACTCCAAGGATAAGGCCGGCGTCCTCTGGTCTCTGTGGATGCATCTCTAGTCTCAATGCTGACCTTGGATGTGTCTGTCTTCTTGGTGAAGTCCCCAGTGGTCTGGTCAGAGGAATCTCTGAGTCCATTGTCGATCACAACCACGGGCCTACTCCAAGGATAAGGCCGGCGTCCTCTGGTCTCGGTGGATGCATCTCTAGTCTCAATGCTGACCTTGGATGTGTCCGCCGTCTTCTTTGTGAAGTCCCCGCTGGTCTGGACAGAGGAATCTCTGAGTCCATTGTCGATCACAACCACGGGCCCACTCCAAGGATAAGGCCGGCCGCCTCTGGTCTCGGTGGATGCATCTCTGGTCTCAATGCTGACCTTGGATGTGTCTGTCTTCTTGGTGAAGTCCCCAGTGGTTTGGACAGAGGAATCTCTGAGTCCATTGTCGATCACAACCACGGGCCCACTCCAAGGATGAGGTCGGCGTCCTCTGGTCTCGGTGGATGCATCTGTGGTCTCCATGCAGGCCCTTATGATATAGGTCTCATGTCTGATCTTTCGGAATCTGGGTCGTCTTACTATTTTCACGTTCTTGATAATTGCTGCATATTTTGTTTTCATCACTGCCCTCTGTTGATGTTTTATGATCCACATGTGGCAGATGATGAGAATAACATGAATAGCAGACATGTCTATGGATATTTTATGGACAATGGTCCACAATAAATGTGCAGTTTTCATAATCCCGTTATATGCCATTGCATGCCCAACACCATTCCATATCTTTTTGAACAACTCAAACACTGCAGTTGCATCTTTGATGGAGGCCTCGCTCATAGCAATTATCGCAGAACTGGCCATATGGCCAAAGGTTTGCAGCCAATCCAGGTACTGACTGTTGAAAAGTATGAGAAATATGTAAAAAATCAAACCAAACGTTGCCATTTTTTCAAATTCTTTACACAAGCTCCAATATTAAATCGGTCTGGTGCAAGATGCTTTGTTTCCTGTGACGAGTCGACACTGCTGACAGTTTGAGAGTGCTTCAGCTTATATAGCCTGAGGGCCGGTGTGACGTCATTGTGACGTCACAATGATGGCACAGTAACGTCTGTGACATAACTGTTATGTCATTGTCACGTCACGTGATGTGATGTCACATTGCTGGTGCGCTCTAACATTATTTCAATGCAATTACAATTGACTGTATACCATTAAAACTGATAATTTGATGTTATAATATAGTACAATAACAGGTGTACATTTTATGTTGATTATTATCACGTAAAATGTTGAGTATTACTTGTGGGAATTTCGGCAAACTTGTCCGTAACTGTTTAAATTGACTTACTCTTGTTAAAACTGTCATGATCCTTTTTATAATATCTCAAAAAAATTTACAGGTTGAAATTGTGAATTCGCTTATAAAAAAATGTTTCCACATGATCAGCATGCCACCATCAGAGACAACCACGTTGTTTCAGTGAGGTTACAATAAAAAAAAGCCTTGGCAAATCGCTTGACAATCTATAATACGTTGACTTTAGGCATAATTTAAACTTGATGTGGATCCATCTTCTTTGGTTCTTTCGGTAAAGTCACGTAGAATGAGAATAAAATAATAAATTGATAAAATAAAATAACACAATAATATTCTCACGACATTTCGGCCACAACACAAGCGGCCTTCATCAGGTGAAGGGGACGAGACTGTCTGGAGGACAGCGCTGGAGTGAGAAAGCCACGCTGAGATCACGACCTTTAAGCTGTGTGAGAAGAAACAAAGCGCCTTGACAAAGGAATTAGCATATAATTTAGCATTGAAATGGCTGAGTGATTAGCTTGTGACTGGTCACAGAAAAGGCTATGTTAAAGTTAAAGCATACACATCCGCAAAGGCACCCCTTGACAAAGGAATTAGCATAGAATTTAGCATTGAAATAGCTAAGTTAAAGTATACACATCCGCAGAGGCACTCCAAGACAAAGGAATTAGCATAGAATTTAGCATTGAAATAGCTGAGTGATTAGCTTGTAACTGGTCACAGAAATAGCTATGTTAAAGTCAGAGCATATACATTCACCGAGGCACCTAGTACAAATCAAACAGGAGAATTTAGCATTGAAATAACTAGGCGAATTTAGCATTGTTGAAGTTAAGGCCTACACATCTGAGCTATTCACAGTAACTGGGTATACAATACAATATATAATGAATACTATATAGTGAACCAATAAAAAATACTAAAATATAAATTACCTCAATGTTATCAATAAACTCTATATTCTCCAATCAGCTAAGCTACCAACAATAAGTCGTTATATATCACAATGCTATATGGCGAAAAATTGGTGGATTCTTACCCTCAACTTTAGCAACACGGATAGCTACGGGTCCCGTTCAGACGGACGAGTTCATCCATGGTCGGAACAGAGGAGGGGGAGAGAGAGAGCTGCGAGGCGCTGTTATACTCCATGTTGTAAACCATACCATTAACCGTGGTGTGAGAGGTATTAAGAGTCAATGCCAGCGAAAGAGCTGCGGTCTGAAGGTCATCGTAAAATACAATTAATTAAGAATGGAAATGGTTTAAAACATCTTTCCAATGGTTACTAAGCCAGAATCCATCTTCTCGGTTGAAATGGTCTCTGTGCTTGTATATGTGAATGGCCTCATGAATGATTTTATTCTCATTCTACGTGACTTTACCGAAAGAACCAAAGAAGACGAATCCTTGCAGTCACGAAAGCTTTAAATTGATGTGGATCCTGAAGTTCAGTCAAATAACTTTGGAGGAAATATTTCACGCGGTGTATTTCCCCTGTGTGTGTGTGTGTCAATGAATCTGTCAGTTTGTATGCATGATTCACGTACATGCAGCACAATAATTAACTGCTGACCATGTTGTGTTGGTTGATTTGGACGTTGCTGAGGAAAGATGGATTCCATGGAGACAATGTTTTTTTTTCTTGCTCACTGTAGCCTCTTTCTGATACAATGGGGTGCACTGCATTGTGAGATTTTCGCACGGATTCTTTGTCTCGATTGAAAGACGAAACAAGTGTAGTGGGTTCCAGGACACGGAGACAGCAGAATAGAAGCAGCACTATTTATTTAAACCTTAACAAGGGTTACACTAGAAGGGGTAGCGGCCCCTCCACCCGTATAACTCAGGAACACACCCCAGGCTCTCTAGCCTAAGCTCTAGGCTCCCAGTTCCTCCTGGTAGGGCTCTAAGGGAGGCTATCAGATCCGGCCCTGGTTAGGCACAGATCTCGGCACCCCGCCGACCAGACCGGCCCTTAGAAGAACTCTGACTCTGGGGCTCTGGGGCCGCACCACTGGCTTGCTGTGCCGGCCCTGAAAAGGGCAGCGGTCACAGGAGTTCCAGGGTCTCACCTAGCTGGCCTTCTTTCTTCACTGGTTGCTTCAGCCTCGGGCCCCACACTCTGCCCCGAGCTCCCTGGCTCCCCGCACTTTATACCCACTGGAGCCTTAGCGGACGTTGTTGTAGCCACCAAGGTGTGGGTGAACCACACCTTCCCGTGCCATGTGTTTATTTCCCATAGCACCCCTACATCACCCCCTCCCGTGTAACCCGCAGCCGTCCCGGCTGCAACAATACTCGAACAATAAACACAACAAACCCCCACCCGTGCGTGCCTCATAAGAACGAACACCCCAATAAATAACCCAACCCACCTATACAAAATTACACTATATACACATATACATTGTACCCCCCCCCCCCCCCCCCCCATCAACGCAGCAAGAAAACTTAACAGTGAACAACAAGAGTAACAAGAACCATTTTTACAACAAGCGGCGCATTTTGGCGCGAGTCCGATTTGCGGGTCCATCGTAGGGGGAGGGTCCGGTCGGCCCGGCAGTGGGCACCGGCTGTGCAGGTGCACCGTCTTCCGTCACCCCGGAAGGGCAAACTCCGTCCCCACCGGGTGGCGCAGGCGCGCTGGAAGCCGTCATTCTTGAGGCGCCTGAAGGTGGAACAGTTAGCGAAGCATCAAGGGCAGGTGATGAAGACGCCGTCTGGGAGTCAGCGGAGACATCACATGTTCGGCCTGTGTAATGTGGTGGAGGGACGCGCGGCGCCACAAACGGCTTCAGACGCGAGGGGTGTACGTACCAGCGGCGTTTCCCCCACTGGATACGAACGCACTGCGGCCGCATAACCTTCACAATAACCACAGGGCCCCTCCAAGGCCGCAACAATTTCGCCGAGGTCGCCAACGGCACCTGAGGGCAGTGCAGCCAGGCTTGGTCGCCTGGCTTCCACGCATGTGTGCGTGATTGGCGCGATCGCAACCTCTCGTTGGCCTTCTGCCGAGAGGAAGAGTTTTGGGCCGCTGCCTCCCGCGCCTCGGTCAACCTCAGGATATTAAATTTAACGTGGTCGGCCAATTTCGATTTTCTGCTGGTTTCCGAGACGCGGAGCTGATTCGCAATTGGTGGGTCAACGTCACGACCGTACATCAAAAAGAACGGCGAGAAGCCGGTTGCCGCGTGAGGAGCCATTCTATAGGCGGCCAAAACCCCCGGAATGTGAAGGTCCCAATCGGTCTGGGAGTCACACACCTGGTGACACAACATAGATGTGAGCGTCCTATGCAGCCGCTCCACCATGCCATCGGTTTGTGGGTGATAGGGGGAAGTGCGAATCTTTTTCGTACCAAGAAGCACACACACCTCGTGCAGAAGGACGCCAGAGAAGTTCTTCCCTTGGTCAGTCAGCAGCCGTTCGGGAGCACCCTTGTCGAGGACATAGCCCTGGACAAAGGCCTCGGCAACGGCTGCTGCTGACTGGTTAGCAAGAGGCCATGCCATAGGCCATCGGGTGAAATATTCCACGCCAACCAGCAGGTACTTGTTACCCCTAGGGGTCGCAGGGAAGGGCCCCAATATATCGAGTGCGACGAGTTCGTTAACCCGAGAGACTGTGATAGATTGTAGCGGTGGGCAGGCGCCTTTCGCTGGTGGTTTTCGTTGGGCGCACTGAGTGCATGCACCCAGGAGGTCATCCACATCCCTTGCCATACCCGGCCAGAAGAAATCCAGCTGGAGCACGGCAAGGGTCTTGTGGGTCCCCAGGTGCAAAAGTCGCTCGTGTGCGGCCCAAACGGCCTTACCCCGCAAAGCGGATGGCACCACAAGCCTGTGACGGCAGGCCCTCCCATCCCAATGCATTAGGAGCCCCTGGAGCAGCCCGTACGAATCAATCCCCGCGACCCCCCGCACGGAACCCCCTGCGCGACGACGCAACGCGAGGAGGGATGCGTCCTCCATCTGGAGGCGCCCCCATTCCGCAACGGACAACCCCAGCAAGGAGTCCGCACCTCCCTCCCCGACAGGACCCTCAGGCAAGGGGTCCTCAGTGGCAGCAGCGAGAACCGGGATATCTAAGGGGGGGCTATCCTCTGGCGGCTTACAACGCCCCGATCCCCTGAGACAAGCGCAATCTGAGGCGGGCGGCAGGCGAGACAGCGCATCCGCATTAGTGTGCCGAGCACCCTTCCGATATGTGGTCGTGAAATCATAATCCTGAAGGATTTCGAGCCATCGGGACAATTGCCCCGAAGGCTGTGTCACCCGCAAGGCATATTGTAATGCCGCATGGTCCGTACGGACAGTGAAATGCCGACCGTACAGGTATGGGCGATACTGTTGCATAAAAAATACAATAGCCAAGAGTTCCCGACGCGTGACGCAGTATCTCTGTTCCGCCGGAGACAAAACCCTACTGCCATAAGCCACGACGCGTTTCACACCACAGATCACCTGTGAGAGCACACCCCCAATGCCCGTATTGCTGGCGTCTGTATCGAGCAGGAAGGGTTCCGAAAAATCGGGGTAGCTCAATGGAGGGGCCCGCACGAGAGCGTCGCGAAGGGAACAAAAAGCGACCTCCTCCTCCTGGCCCCAGTGAAATTTCACTCCCTTCGCCATCAGAGCGTGTAAGGGCTTAGCAATGGTCGCGAAATCCGCGACGAACCGCCGGTAATAAGATGCAAATCCAATGAAACTCCTGACCTCAGCCACCGAGGTGGGGGTTGGCCAGGAGTTGACACACTGCGTCTTTGCGGGATCGGTGGATATGCCCGAGCGGCTGACGATGTGCCCCAAATAGCGTACGGATTCCCGTAGCAGGTGGCACTTTTGCGGCTTAAATTTCAAATTCGCAGCACGCATTTTGAGGAACACGGCGCGCAAGCGCAAAAGGTGTTCGTCAAATGTCTTGCTGAACACGATGACGTCATCCAGATAGATCAAACAGACGTTCCACTGTAAGCCAGCCAAAACCAGTTCCATAAGGCGCTGAAATGTCGCCGGAGCGGAGTGTAATCCCATAGGTAACCGGTTAAATTGGAATAGGCCCTGTGGTGTGCGAAACGCAGTCTTTGGCTTGGACTCATCATCCAATGGGAGTTGCCAGAATCCGGATAACAAGTCCAACGTAGAAAAAAAACGTGCGCCAGCCAGAGCATCCAGAGATTCGTCCATCCGGGGAAGTGGATACGCGTCGGCCACGGAGATCTTATTAAGGCGGCGAAAATCCACACAGAATCGCAAGGACCCATCGTGCTTTTTGACAAGCACTATGGGTGCTCCCCATGGACTGGTGGAAGGGGCTATAATGTCTGCAGCCAGCATGTCATCCACTGCCAATTTGACATGATCTTTTTCGGCCGGACTTAACCGAAAAGGATTCTGGCGTACCGAGGCATTGTCACCCGTGTCAATGTGGTGACGCAACAATTTCGTGCACTCAATGTCATATTTGTGTTTACTAAAAACATCGGAAAATTCCGTCAGAAGGGTGCGTAGGCCGGCACGCTGGGAGTCGGACAGATCACTCGTGCCCGAACATAGTGTGTCCATCCAACTATCGTCCCCCTCAGAATGCGGTTGAGCCAGAGGATCGGTCCCCACATTACCCATAACCGTGTCTACCACGGGGACCGGTGTCGCGTGCGCGAGCACAGTTCCCTGAGGAACGACGGCCGTCTGTACGCCAACGTTAAGGACGAGGATAAACGGGTCATCGCTCCCCTTAACGAGCGTTTGAGCGGCCACCAGATCCAGCCCGTTTTCCCCAGCCCTCGAGGGCCCTAACAGAATTCCCTGGTCCAGAACACCGGGCACGAAAGGCCGACGCAAGCGAAGGGGCACGAGCATTTGCGCCCCGGGAGGTACACGCACCGTCCGAGTGACGAACGCTTGTATCGACGCGCACGCTGCCCTTGAGGTGACAGGGGAAGGCAGGAATGTTACCCGTCGGCCCGAGGGAAGCTCGATGCAACCCTGATCAATTAGAATTTTAATCGGCATTTTGCCCAAAAAGTCCGTCCCCAACAAGCACGGAACCGCCAGCGAGGACGAGACTAATATCGGCCCGGAGAGTTTGATATCGCCAATGCAAATTTGTGCTCGAATTTGGCCTATGATACCCAGCGAACCCCCGTTCGCTGCGTAACACGGAACGGTGACTGGGAGCAAGGGGCGGCTTTGAACGGGAAGAATATTATAAATCAAGTCTGACACAATGGTCGCCGAAGCTCCCGTATCGACGAGGATACGCACCTCGACCCCGTCAATGCGACCCGCGACCACGGACGAGCCTGCCGACGCAGCAACAATGCGGTGGGCCAATTCCGTCCACTGCCCCGGCCCGAGCACCCTCTCGACCCCGCCGCCACCCAACAAACCAATGGGCGTACCCCGAGGCCCGTACACCGAAACGCGCGAGGTGGGGACAGGTGTGTGCACAGGCCGAGCATGTGGGGTGCCGCGACTTGCCGGGTTGCGATGCGGAGGCCTGTAGGCTGGAGCGCCGTCCGACCGTCCCGGCTGTCGTTGACGAGGCGCCCGGCATTCCGCAGCCACGTGGCCCTTGCGGCCACAGTTGTAGCACGTGATGAGCGCCTTGGGGTGCTCCTGGCGATCCGGTGTGGTCCGAGCCGGCCTCCCTCCGGATCTCCACTCCAACCGGGCGACCCGCCGCGAAGACCTCCTCGGAGGGGGGGATGGTCGGCGTCCCAGCGCACACCGCAGCTGCGCCCTTGGGGACGAGAGGTGATCGACGATGCGCTATCAGGTGCGCGTGGATGTGTCTTGCTGCCCGCAAGGAGCACATGTCCGCGTCGTCCTCTGCGACGATGACGATCTGTAGCTCCTGGGCCAACGCCAGGAGCGTCTCCGTCACCATCGCGTCCACCCCTTCGCCGTCCATCCGCGGGAAAGCCGCTTTTGCGAGGGCCAGGAGAGCCGTGCGATACGCCAGCGGTGGCTCCTTCTGGCCCCTGCACCACTCGTGGAAGAGTTTGCGGCAGTCCGACGATGGCCCGTAGACTATGGTGAGGACCTGGAGCGCCGACTGTAGCATAGATCGCGTTGATCTGGGAGCTGTGATGAGCGTAGCAAGGGCGTCATCGTCCAGCATGGTCGGTAGCGCACTCAACGCCTCGTTGTCCGTCCAGCCGGCCATCTCTTGATGAGCGAGAAAGCGGCGTTGAAAGGCCCCCCAGTCGCCGCCGTCTGAAACGAACTCCTTCAACACCGGCAGGCGTTGTTGAAACGATGGCTTCGTCTCTGAGAGGTGACGCGCGCCATTTCTGGCCTCTCCACCGGTGTTTGAGGGGCTGGGGACACCCATCGGCGGTCGCGCAGGTGATGACGATGCGCCCGCCGATTGGTCCTGACAGCGGGCGTCCGTTGGTGATGACGTCACCACCGCTGATTGGCCCACAGCGTCCACGTGGAGCTGCGACCCTCCAATCGCCGTGGCGGACACTGTCATGGCGGCAAATCCGAAATCTGGTGGCTGTGTTTCGGCGGGAATGACCGTTGAACGGCGTTCGTCTCTCTGCCGCCTTTGCGCCCGCAGCCCCGCGCGGTTGATTTCCTCCAGCGTGGAAGCCGCGGCATACAGCAGCTCAGCCAGTCGAGAGTGAGCCGCCTGCAACCCGTCCTCCATCGGCGGCCACTCCTCCAGCGGCGGCTGCTGTTGGGGCGTCTGGGACATCCCAGGATCGTCGGCCGCGGCCTCTGGCGCAATCCCAGGCGAGCCGTCCTCCTCCTGGGGTTCCTGTGATCGGTTTGTACTCCTTGTGTCCATTTTAAGACCACTTCTGACACCAGTTGTAGTGGGTTCCAGGACACGGAGACGGCAGAATAGAAGCAGCACTATTTATTTAAACCTTAACAAGGGTTACACTAGAAGGGGTAGCGGCCCCTCCACCCGTATAACTCAGGAACACACCCCAGGCTCTCTAGCCTAAGCTCTAGGCTCCCAGTTCCTCCTGGTAGGGCTCTAAGGGAGGCTATCAGATCCGGCCCTGGTTAGGCACAGATCTCGGCACCCCGCCGACCAGACCGGCCCTTAGAAGGACTCTGACTCTGGGGCTCTGGGGCCGCACCACTGGCTTGCTGTGCCGGCCCTGAAAAGGGCAGCGGTCACAAGAGTTCCAGGGTCTCACCTAGCTGGCCTTCTTTCTTCACTGGTTGCTTCAGCCTCGGGCCCCACACTCTGCCCCGAGCTCCCTGGCTCCCCGCACTTTATACCCACTGGAGCCTTAGCGGACGTTGTTGTAGCCACCAAGGTGTGGGTGAACCACACCTTCCCGTGCCATGTGTTTATTCCCCATAGCACCCCTACACAAGTATTAAATCAAGAAACGAAACTCCGGGCAATTACCAAAAAGACAGGTATGCATGATTCACGTACATGCAGCACAATAATTAACTGCTGACCATGTTGTGTTGGTTGATTTGGACGTTGCTGAGGAAAGATGGATTCCATGGAGACAATGTTTTTTTCCTTGCTCACTGTAGCCTCTTTCTGATGCAATGGGGTGCACTGCATTGTGAGATTTTCGCACGGATTCTTTGTCTCGATTGAAAGACGAAACAAGTATGAAATCAAGAAACGAAACTCTGAGCAATTACCAAAAAGACAGGAAGAATTCGGGAAATATGTTTTTATGTTTGAATTTCAGTACAATGGTAATTGAAAACAACATAACATGTAAGGAGAAATCCTGGCGGGTGGCATACATAGTATTTAAAGTGTGAACCTCCGTGTATGCGAGTTTGCATATGCATGCCTGTGTGCATGTGTGAGACTTACATATCAGTCAGTCAACCCATGGCACCTGGGTCTGTCCCGTGACCTTCTGCCACAACCACTGGCCCACTCCAAGGATAAGGCCGGCGTCCTCTGGTCTCGGTGGATGCATCTCTAGTCTCAATGCTGACCTTGGATGTGTCCGTCTTCTTGGTGAAGTCCCCGCTGGTCTGGACAGAGGAATCTCTGAGTCCATTGTCGATCACAACCACGGGCCCACTCCAAGGATAAGGCCGGCGTCCTCTGGTCTCGGTGGATGCATCTCTAGTCTCAATGCTGACCTTGGATGTGTCTGTCTTCTTGGTGAAGTCCCCGCTGGTCTGGACAGAGGAATCTTTGAGTCCATTGTCGATCACAACCACGGGCCCACTCCAAGGATAAGGCCGGCGTCCTCTGGTCTCGGTGGATGCATCTTTGGTCTCAATGCTGACCTTGGATGTGTCTGTCTTTTTGGTGAATTCCCCGGTGGTCTGGACAGAGGAATCTCTGAGTCCATTGTCGATCACAACCACGGGCCCACTCCAAGGATAAGGCCGGCGTCCTCTGGTCTCGGTGGATGCATCTCTAGTCTCAATGCTGACCTTGGATGTGTCTGTCTTCTTGGTGAAGTCCCCAGTGGTCTGGACAGAGGAATCTCTGAGTCCATTGTCGATCACAACCACGGGCCCACTCCAAGGATAAGGCCGGCGTCCTCTGGTCTCGGTGGATGCATCTCTAGTCTCAATGCTGACCTTGGATGTGTCCGTCTTCTTGGTGAAGTCCCCGCTGGTCTGGACAGAGGAATCTCTGAGTCCATTGTCGATCACAACCACTGGCCCACTCCAAGGATAAGGCCGGCCGCCTCTGGTCTCGGTGGATGCATCTCTGGTCTCAATGCTGACCTTGGATGTGTCTGTCTTTATGGTGAAGTCCCCAGTAGTTTGGACAGAGGAATCTCTGAGTCCATTGTCGATCACAACCACGGGCCCACTCCAAGGATGAGGTCGGCGTCCTCTGGTCTCGGTGGATGCATCTGTGGTCTCCATGCAGGCCCTTATGATATAGGTCTCATGTCTGATCTTTCGGAATCTGGGTCGTCTTACTATTTTCACGTTCTTGATAATTGCTGCATATTTTGTTTTCATCACTGCCCTCTGTTGATGTTTTATGATCCACATGTGGCAGATGATGAGAATAACATGAATAGCAGACATGTCTATGGATATTTTATGGACAATGGTCCACAATAAATGTGCAGTTTTCATAATCCCGTTATATGCCATTGCATGCCCAACACCATTCCATATCTTTTTGAACAACTCAAACACTGCAGTTGCATCTTTGATGGAGGCCTCGCTCATAGCAATTATCGCAGAACTGGCCATATGGCCAAAGGTTTGCAGCCCATCCAGGTACTGACTGTTGAAAAGTATGACAAATATGTAAAAAATCAAACCAAACGTTGCCATTTTTTCAAATTCTTTACACAAGCTCCAATATTAAATCGGTCTGGTGCAAGATGCTTTGTTTCCTGTGACGAGTCGACACTGCTGACAGTTTGAGAGTGCTTCAGCTTATATAGCCTGAGGGCCGGTGTGACGTCATTGTGACGTCACAATGATGGCACAGTAACGTCTGTGACATAACTGTTATGTCATTGTCACGTCACGTGATGTGATGTCACATTGCTGGTGCGCTCTAACATTATTTCAATGCAATTACAATTGACTGTATACCATTAAAACTGATAATTTGATGTTATAATATAGTACAATGACAGGTGTACATTTAATGTTGATTATTATCACATAAAATGTTCAGTATTACTTGTGGGAATTTCGGCAAACTTGTCCGTAACTGTTTAAATTGACTTACTCTTGTTAAAACTGTCATGATCCTTTTTATAATATCTCAAAAAAATTTACAGGTTGAAATTGTGAATTCGCTTATAAAAAAATGTTTCCACATGATCAGCATGCCACCATCAGAGACAACCACGACGTTTCAGTGATGTTACAATAAAAAAAGACTTGGCAAATCGCTTGACAATCTATAATACGTTGACTTTAGGCATAATTTAAACTTGATGTGGATCCATCTTCTTTGGTTCTTTCGGTAAAGTCACGTAGAATGAGAATAAAATAATAAATTGATAAAATAAAATAACACAATAATATTCTCACGACATTTCGGCCACAACACAAGCGGCCTTCATCAGGTGAAGGGGACGAGACTGTCTGGAGGACAGCGCTGGAGTGAGAAAGCCACGCTGAGATCACGACCTTTAAGCTGTGTGAGAAGAAACAAAGCGCCTTGACAAAGGAATTAGCATATAATTTAGCATTGAAATGGCTGAGTGATTAGCTTGTGACTGGTCACAGAAAAGGCTATGTTAAAGTTAAAGCATACACATCCGCAAAGGCACCCCTTGACAAAGGAATTAGCATAGAATTTAGCATTGAAATAGCTAAGTTAAAGTATACACATCCGCAGAGGCACTCCTAGACAAAGGAATTAGCATAGAATTTAGCATTGAAATAGCTGAGTGATTAGCTTGTAACTGGTCACAGAAATAGCTATGTTAAAGTCAGAGCATATACATTCACCGAGGCACCTAGTACAAATCAAACAGGAGCATTTAGCATTGAAATAACTAGGCGAATTTAGCATTGTTGAAGTTAAGGCCTACACATCTGAGCTATTCACAGTAACTGGGTATACAATACAATATATAATGAATACTATATAGTGAACCAATAAAAAATACTAAAATATAAATTACCTCAATGTTATCAATAAACTCTATATTCTCCAATCAGCTAAGCTACCAACAATTAGTCGTTATATATCACAATGCTATATGGCGAAAAATGGGTGGATTCTTACCCTCAACTTTAGCAACACGGATAGCTACGAGTCCCGTTCAGACGGACGAGTTCATCCATGGTCGGAACAGAGGAGGGGGAGAGAGAGAGCTGCGAGGTGCTGTTATACTCCATGTTGTAAACCATACCATTAACCGTGGTGTGAGAGGTATTAAGAGTCAATGCCAGCGAAAGAGCTGCGGTCTGAAGGTCATCGTAAAATACAATTAATTAAGAATGGAAATGGTTTAAAACATCTTTCCAATGGTTACTAAGCCAGAATCCATCTTCTCGGTTGAAATGGTCTCTGTGCTTGTATATGTGAATGGCCTCATGAATTATTTTATTCTCATTCTACGTGACTTTACCGAAAGAACCAAAGAAGACGAATCCTTGCAGTCACGAAAGCTTTAAATTGATGTGGATCCTGAATTTCAGTCAAATAACTTTGGAGGAAATATTTCACGCGGTGTATTTCCCCTGTGGGTGTGTGTTAATGAATCTGTCAGTTTGTATGCATGATTCACGTACATGCAGCACAATAATTAACTGCTGACCATGTTGTGTTGGTTGATTTGGATGTTGCTGAGGAAAGATGGATTCCATGGAGACAATGTTTTTTTTTCTTGCTCACTGTAGCCTCTTTCTGATACAATGGGGTGCACTGCATTGTGAGATGTTCGCACGGATTCTTTGTCTCGATTGAAAGACGAAACAAGTATTAAATCAAGAAACGAAACTCTGAGCAATTACCAAAAAGACAGGAAGAATTCGGGAAATATGTTTTTATGTTTGAATTTCGGTACAATGGTAATTGAAAACAACATAACATGTAAGGAGAAATCCTGGCGGGTGGCATACATAGTATTTAAAGTGTAAACCTCCGTGTATGCGAGTTTGCATATGCATGCCTGTGTGCATGTGTGAGACTTGCATATCAGTCATTCAACCCATGGCACCTGGGTCTGTCCCGTGACCTTCTGCCACAACCACTGGCCCACTCCAAGGATAAGGCCGGCGTCCTCTGGTCTCGGTGGATGCATCTATGGTCTCAATGCTGACCTTGGATGTGTCTGTCTTCTTGGTGAATTCCCCGGTGGTCTGGACAGAGGAATCTCTGAGTCCATTGTCGATCACAACCACGGGCCCACTCCAAGGATAAGGCCGGCGTCCTCTGGTCTCGGTGGATGCATCTCTAGTCTCAATGCTGACCTTGGATGTGTCCGCTGTCTTCTTGGTGAAGTCCCCGGTGGTCTGGACAGAGGAATCTCTGAGTCCATTGTCGATCACAACCACGGGCCCACTCCAAGGATAAGGCCGGCGTCCTCTGGTCTCGGTGGATGCATCTCTAGTCTCAATGCTGACCTTGGATGTGTCCGTCTTCTTGGTGAAGTCCCCGCTGGTCTGGACAGAGGAATCTCTGAGTCCATTGTCGATCACAACCACGGGCCCACTCCAAGGATAAGGCCGGCGTCCTCTGGTCTCGGTGGATGCATCTCTAGGTCTCAATGCTGACCTTGGATGTGTCTGTCTTCTTGGTGAATTCCCCGGTGGTCTGGACAGAGGAATCTCTGAGTCCATTGTCGATCACAACCACGGGCCCACTCCAAGGATAAGGCCGGCGTCCTCTGGTCTCGGTGGATGCATCTCTCGTCTCAATGCTGACCTTGGATGTGTCTGTCTTCTTGGTGAATTCCCCAGTGGTCTGGACAGAGGAATCTCTGAGTCCATTGTCGATCACAACCACGGGCCCACTCCAAGGATAAGGCCGGCGTCCTCTGGTCTCGGTGGATGCATCTCTAGTCTCAATGCTGACCTTGGATGTGTCCTGTCTTCTTGGTGAAGTCCCCAGTGGTCTGGACAGAGGAATCTCTGAGTCCATTGTCGATCACAACCACGGGCCCACTCCAAGGATAAGGCCGGCGTCCTCTGGTCTCGGTGGATGCATCTCTAGTCTCAATGCTGACCTTGG